CAGGTTGGAGGTGCTGTCCCACAGCCCCATCACAGCATGGCTAGCAGATTATCAATTTAAAGCAAAAACAACATGACTGGGGAGTCTAAAAATACCAGGGACGTCCGAGCTGCTCCATTTGACTGTACTGAATTTAACTGAGAAGGATGGTCCCTGCATGCCGATTGCTTGGTGCCTGTTTGTATTTGCAATCTCTTCTTGTAGGGTAAAACCTTTTGAAGGGGACATCAGGCCCTAGACTGGATTCTTGAATTACTTTAGCAGTATCACCTCAGAGGCAGCATATGTTGTGCTAGTCGTATGACTACCTCAGTAGTAGAGAGAGGAGGACTAGTTGTGTTTTCGCAAACATATCTCTTGATGTCCTATGACGTGAAAGACACAGTTCCAGTGTAACACCTGCAACTAGGCTTTAGGAACCAGTGCACTTGACCCAGATGTATAGTATAAAGATAACTGCTCTGTGCAAGGAATGCCAGCATATGGCATATGGCATAAGAAAATGGCATGGATCTTTCCATGAGGTGTTTTCCAAAGCTTCAGGGGAAACCCACTGGTTCCGTAGTACTGGGTCTCTTTGTGGAGCCTGTAATAATAATAACGCTGTAACTCATCACATAAGAACCCTGACACCACTTAAACCTCATCATATCTGAAATCACTTTAAAATCTTCTACTAAAGGACCCTGTAGAATAAGGACGGTTCCAAAGGTTAAAGTAAAGTTTGCAGGAGACTGTACTCAGTTCTGCTTTCATACGTCTCAGTGGCTTCATATAACCTGAATTAATCTATTTTTAAATTTTTCTCTTCTGGGAAGCTACTTCAGAATCTATTTGTGACAGCGAAAATTCTAAAATATGAGCAAAACACATGCTGCTGTGCTCCCTAAGGCTCTGAAGTCTCCTGAAAAGACGGCTATTTCTTGAGTGTCATTAAACGGAGAAAAACAACTCTGAAGGCCAAATTCATCCCTACTATCATTCAACTGAAGTTAACATCAGTGCACCAGCAATGAACTAGGCCCCAGCACATACAGAGCATGTCACATCACTGCTGAAGATCCAATTCCATGCAAGCTGCGCAGCTCTGGAATGGTTGTGTTTCAGCACCGCAATTTCAGAAATGTATATAGTTTTATGCTGGTGTCAGTCAGGCAGAATTAATCTGCAGGGGATTTTTTTCCTTAGGAGGTCAGTCACTACATTATGCTGTCTACATGCAGAGTGACAGAATCCAGCATCTCTGTAGGACTTTGTGCATATTCTCCAGAACTGGTTTTTTCCTTTTATCCAAAATGATCATCTCAATGTATTTTTGGCATCATTCTCTTACAACACCTTTAAAACAAGTCTCTGTTCTGTCAACAGCCTCTTCAACACTCTGGGAGCTTAGTAGCATGGATGTCTAATAACGTCCTCTCCCGTTCTTCACTCAGTAAAAAGGACATCATACATTGTTTTTCACAAATGTTTCCTGGACAAAATGTAATTTTCCCATTCCCCAAGACTTCATTGCTTCATTGACAGGGATTTGTTGTGGTAGTTTAGCTGTCTGTTGAACAGTTCCCAAATGATGAGTGACTCTAATAAAAATGAGACTGCAGGAATTACTTTGTGTAGAACACACCATACCAAAACCCTAGCCTACCCTCCCCTGTAAACTGAAGATCTTCAAACTGGTATCCCGATTGCAAAATCACTTTAGAAAGCCACTCTCCTCGTCTGAGGAGCTCAGAATGGGAAGCTAGTTCTTCAGAAAAGGCAAGCACCTGAACGCCTATCAGTAACCTGATCAATTTAACATCTGGGGATAGCTCAACTGAAGGCAATTCTGACCGTGACAGTAGGATCATTATCAACCTAAGTAACAGTGCAAGACTAAAAGCATGTAGAGGTTCCTCTCATACAGAGGGATGTCTGTAACAGAAGCCAACAAGGGGCCTTAAAGGAGTCAGAAGAAAACTTGTAGCCTAAATTTGCTGAGATCAGTACTTAGAACTGGATACCAGGCGATTCCAGTCAAGCTTCTGAGATTCAGTCTTGGTGGCCTTTTACAAGACACTTCATTGCTCTGAGTTTCCCTCCTTTACATGTGGAATTTTAACACACTAAGTGCCCCTCATGTTCCAGTGGAGGAGATTCAAAAGCCTCCACCCAGGAGGCCATTCTTGTAATGGGTGCAGGACTGACTTCTTTGGATGTGCCTACAGAATCCACCAGTGCCAGAAGCAGTCCAATAGTGTTCTGTGAGCCTCTGCTTGGATCAGTACATGTTTGAAGCACCTCATTAGGATATGGTGCTGCTGTGAGCCATATGGACACATTCACAATGAATATTGCAAAGAAGAGGCCCTCTGGAATGCATTTTGCTCTGTTATGACGCTGCAGCCCTTCAAGGGAACATGCTGTATCAGTGACGTGTCCTTGTTGTTCCATTTCAGCACGACAACTCTGTTGGAAGCAGGGATTACTGATGGTCCACCTCATATTTTAAAAATACTTTCCTGGTTCTTGGAAAATCAAACTGTTTCTCTCGTAATTCTACTTCCAGTTTACCACAGCAGTCATGTTATTCCCCATTAGGGAGTGAATGCACTGAGGCAGCTAATGCAATGGATTTTGATTTTTTAAACATTCTGCCTGGCTAGAGCTCAGATTAATCATATGAAATGCAGCTAAGCCTTGCATTAGCACAAAGTCTGATCAAATTCCTTATTGTCATCTTTGAAAACAACAAGAAAGCAGAGCAACACCAAACAAGAGAAGCCAGAGGACAGGTTAAATAGCCTGTTTTCTAAATCTTATTCATCAGAGACTGGAATGTTTGTAAGATCCTTTTTTATGATTTTGCCCTGCTCCTCAACTATGCTCCAAACTTATTTGCTAAAATCATTTCTGTGGTCTAATTCTCTGTGTTAGTCACTGTCTTTTGATACTTCCACTTACTCACCTCTTCATGCTTACTAACTGCAGACTTCTGGTGGAAGGTGTGGACAAAGACCTGAAGGGTCAAAAAGGGAACAGTGTACTTGCCGCTGCGTCAGATGAGAAGAAACAACTTCTGTGTTGGACAACACGTCCCCCCTTACAATACACCCCCGATAAAGCTGCACTACAATTGCCTTTATTGTCAGAAGTTCTCACAAATTAAGCTGCATTAACATGTTTCTCAACTGGGAGCATTTGCAGCCTCAGTAGCTCAATTCTGCTTACGTACTTTTCCCATGGGCCCATCGATTACTTGCGTGAGAAAAGCTCCCTGCTGGAAGTCACCGCCCTTTATTCCTTGGGATTCCTGCTCAAAACTGATCTCTGCAGCATGATAATGATTTGTTTGGGGAGTAAGCTCTGAGGGTGATAGTGACTACCTAAATTACTCCCTGGCCTCTGCTCCTCATCTAAAGTTGCTTGTTTCTTCCCTCATTGGTTATTCCTTGCCTTCTATGCGTAAACTTTCCTTTGAGAAGCAGGGGGAAAAGTGTTGTTGTTTTATGTGCGCATCATCCAGCACTGTAGGGTCCCTTTTGATGCTGCCTACCAGTTTATTAATATTGTTGTAAACTACCATCATTCTTCAGTAAACCTCATGAGAAGCCACGGGAAAATTTTGATTTTGCATTGATGTGCAACACAAACGCAAAGCCCTAACTAACAAGAGGTGATTGGAAATGAAATGACCTCCATAATCCCCAAAGCAACTAAAATTGCATCACAGATGAATTTGGCATATGAGATTTTATTTGATGAAACTTCTGTGTGCTTCTCTCTTTCTCCTTTCTTCTTTCCTATATTCCCATTGCGACTCAAAGACAGGGAAAACTAAAACTCTTGGGATTTCAATGTGTTTTCCTGAGGTAATCCCAAGAGTTCAGTTGTAAACGTTGGAAAGCGACACTGTGTTTTAGCATCTTTCCTTAAGTCACGTCTGAATGAGCTTGCCTAGATATGTGCAATGAGGATACAGAGAAACGTAGACTGTTTCCAACTTTCTAAGTGTGCTTTTGCCTATTTTAGATTTTTCAGTTTGTAATTTTTTTACTTAGTTTATTCCTTAGTTGTACTAATTGAAGCGGTCCTAACCTGAAGACTATTGCATACTGAGGAGTTAGTGAGACCCGTAACAGCTGATCTGAACAGGTGTAGGCCTGTGCGGTGCTGTATGTATCACTTGGCTGCTGGATGAACTTGGCTGACTCTAATGGAGAAGCCTCTATGCGGCTCCCCCTTGGCACCTGGAGATGACACCCCCTGCACGGGCTTATCTTGAAGTGAAGCAGCCTGTTTCCGTACAACATCCTTTTGCTTGACAGCAGAAATGATGAATAGAGTTGTTTCCTTCAACTACTATCTCCTAAAACCTCTAAAGACTACAATGCTGACGAACCTCAGCCCTGACGGGACCTGTGCAGCATGCCATGCCCGACCAGAAGTCTGCCAGATGCTGCACAACTCAGGCTTCCCAGTACCTGAAGGGATGTAAGATTGCCTGTGCTATCCTCTTTTTCCTTCTTGTGTTATCTCCACAAACTGGTATTTAATTAATACATTACGGAGTCTGGGTGCCTTTCTTACGGGGCTCCATAAGGAAGACTCGCACCAGCGCATTACGCTGATACCACCTGTTATGGAACAATTGAAGATGTAGATTCTCGGGTTTGGTGCAAGGTCACCCTCCTGAAGTCGATTCCTCAGCAAATTAAGGTTTTATCTTTCTAGGAACGCCTAGGTAAACTTTGCTGTCCTTAGGTTTGCAAGATAAAAGGAATTTTCATTGCAAAGGCAAGTGAATAGTAATTACAGTAGTTCTTCAGGATCTAGCTTAGGCATCCCCAAGAGACAGCATTATGCTTTGAATCTGAAAAACATATGTCGGGACAGACAGAACTAGTAATATTAGTTTGGGTACAAGCCCGTACGAAGTGCTAACATTGTTCAGGTATCAGTCTCCGCGCCTCAGTCGTGGGCGGTGAACGCTGCTAGCCTGCTCCCCGTCCAGGGCGATGCCGCTGCTGGCCCTGCGCACCGAGGGAAACGAGGCGGCTCCGTGGCGGGCCGTGAAGGCCCTGGGCGAGGCGGCTCTCGGCCGGGGCC